AATATCATCAACCAAATTCCTTGCAGTAATTTTAAGAAAATGTTAAATTGGCCAACACTTCCACCTGGTGGTGAAGTTCTGTATTTGCCATCAAAGCTACTTTTTATTTATTTATTTTTAAATGATACTGGAGGTTGAACCCAGGGCTTTCTGAATGCTAGGCAAGCACTTTACCTCTGAGCTACATCCCCAACCCCAAAGCTAGTCTGTGTCTTCTTAAATCTTATTTTTGCTCCATATTTTTTAAATTGGCACATTACAGTTATGCCTACTGTTGGAATTTGTTTATATTCATACATGTACACGATACATAATATGACATAATTTGGCCATTATCACTCCCCAGCACTTCCTCCCTCCATCCCATCTCCCACCCCTTGGGCCCTTACCTCTCTGATCTCCCTTTGATTTTTCATTACATCTGCCCCCAACTTTTGTTTTCTTTTTCCTCTCTAGTGTCTACCTATGACAGAAAGCATACAACTCTTAACTCTCTGAGTTTGACTTATTTCACTTAACATAATGGTCTCTAGTTCCATTCATTTTCCTGCAAGTGACATAATTTCATTTTTCTTTATGGCTGAAAAAAATTCTGTTGTGTATATATACCACATTTTCTTTATCCATTCATCTGTTGATGGACATCTAGGCTGGTTCCATAGTTTGGCTACTGTGAATTGTGCTGCTTATAAACATGTATATGTATGTATCATTTATAGTATGATGACTTTAATTTTTTAGGATAAATATTGAGAGGTAGTATAGCTGGGACATATGGCTGTTTCATGCCTAGCCTTTCAAGGAACCTCCACACTGATTTCCATAGCGATTGTACTAATTTACAGTTTCACCAACAGTGTAAAAATTTTCCCTTTTCTCCATATCCTCTTTAGCATGTTTTTTCTCTTTTTGGGTACCAGGGGATTGAACTCAGGGGTACTCCACCTCTAAGCCACAACCTCAGCCCTATTTTGTATTTTATTTAGAGACAGAGTCTCAATAAATTGCTTAGTGTCTCGCCATTGCTGAGGCTGGCTTTGAACTGGCGATCCGCCTGCCTCAGCTTCCTGAGCTGCTGGGATTACAGGCATGCACCACCACGTCTGGCTCTTCAGCATTTCTTGTTATTTGTATTCTTGATAAATGCCATTCTCACTGGTATATGACAAAATCTCAGTACAGTTTTGATTTGCATTTCCCCAATTGCTAATGATGTTGAACAGTTTTCATATGTTTGTTGGCCATTTATGTTTCTTCTTTTGAGAATTGTCTGCTTAATTCATTTGCCCATTTATTAATTGGGCTATTTGATTTTCGATGTAATCTTTTGAGTTATTTATATATTCTAGATATTAATCTGTCAGAAGAGTAGTTAGCAAAGATTTTCTCCCATTCTGTAGGTTCTCTCTTCACATTGCTAATTGTTTTCTTTGCTGTGCAGAAGCTTTTTAATTTGATGCCATCCCACTTAATAACTCTTGGCATTAATTCCTGAGCTTTAGGGGTCCTTTTAGGAAGATCATTGCCTGTGCACATACACTGGAATTTTGACCTACGTTTTCCTCTAGGAGTTGCTTCCAAAGCTACTTTTTTGTCTGGGAGAACCACAGATAGAGGAAAACTATGCAAAATCTCTTTCCTGGATGGAAGAATGATGTAAATGCTGTGTAACTCTAGGTGTTGGTAGAATCATATGATTAAGTATGTAGTTTAAAATTTATGCACAATTCTTAGGAAACTAAACAGACGGGTTGGGGATGTGGCTCAAGCGGTAGCGCGCTCGCCTGGCATGCGTGAGGCCCGGGTTCAATCCTCAGCACCACATACCAACAAAGATGTTGTGTCCGCCGAAAACTATAAAATAAATATTAAAAAAAAAACTCTCTCTCTCTCTCTCTCTCTAAAAAAAAGTGTGTGTGTGTGTGTGTGTGTGTGTGTGTGTATACACATATCTCAAACTATTGGTGAAAGAAATAGAACAAAAGTTGGTCAAATAAAAAGGGAAAAAGAGGGGCTGAGGATGTGGCTCAAGTGGTAGTGCGCTCCCCTAGCATGTGAGTCACTGGGTTCGATTCTCAGCACCACATAAAAAATAAAATAAAGATATTGTGTTCACCTAAAACTAAAAAATAAATATTTTTTTTWAAAAAAAGGGGGAAAGGAGGCTGATTCAGGAGGATCACAAGTTCAAAGCCAGCCTCAGCAACTTAAGGCCCTAAGCAACTTAGCAAAACCCTGAAAACCCTGTCTCTTAAAAAAAGGGGAGGGGGCGAATAAAAAGACCTAGTCATTTACTCAGGAGACTGAAGCAGGAGGCTCAATTGAGCCCAGGAGTTCAAGACCAGGCTGCATCAAATAGTAAGAGCCTATCACAAAGGAAAAAAAAAAGAAAGAAAAGAAAAAGAAAAAAGAAATACTAGGGAATGATACTAGCCAAATTATATTGTTGTATTGTGCACATATATGAATATGCAACAACAAATCCCACCATTCTATAAAGCTATAATGCACCAATAGAAAAAAATAAGGGAAAAATACATCTGGATACTTTCAGGATCATTGGTCCTGCTTGGTTTTTGGTGTTTAGTCTCTTGGTAATGATTTCATTTATAAATAAATAAATATAAAAGGAGAAAAATAAAAGGAGAAGAGGGTGGGATGAAGAAGGAATAAATAAGAATGATAAGTTGGAAAATATAAGATCATGGGATATGTCTCTACTTTGCCTTATTTAATAACTATGAATAAATTCTCCATTAATAGAAAATATGGCACAAAGTCAAAAAAGGATAGAAAATTTGGAAAAGAGGATGTAAGACTCACACATATGCATATTTGAAACATAAGGAGGAAAGATTGCAGAGAGGCAATACTCAATGAGTTAAAAGTTGCAAATTTAATTAATAAGATTAATTAAATCTAGAATTTTGACCTACGTTTTCCTCTAGGAGTTGCATCCAAAGCTACTTTCAAACTCAGAAAGTACACGAATTTCCAAGCAAGTTAAATAAAAGTGAAATTATCTCCTATACACATCCTAGTGAATCTGTTAAAAACTGAACATGAGCTATAGGTCTTAGAAACAGAAAGAGAAGACAGATTACATACCCAACAATAGGGATTAGACTAACAGCTGACAGATGAGACACAACTTCAAAGTTTTCCAGGAAAATAATTTTCAATCTTGAGAAGTGTATTTAATAAAATCATCTCCCCTAGAACAAGTACAAAATACATTTTTCAGACAAAAATTTAGGAGAGTTCCCCAATCTAGACCTTCACTGAAGAATTATTTCATCTGGAAATGGTGGCACAAGCCTGTAGTTCCTGCAACTCGGGAGACTGAGGCAGGAGGATCACAAGTTCAAGGTCAGCCTCAGCAACTTAGCAAGATTCTCAGCAACTTAGCAAGACCCTGCCTCAAAATAAAAAATATAAAGGACTGGGATGTAGCTCAGTGGTAGAGCACCCCCTATATGGTGCTCTATACAGTACAGTCCCCAGTACTGAAAAAAAGAATTACTTCAGAAGGAAGAGAAATGATCACCAAATGAAGATGTGAAATGAAAAAAGGACAATGAGCAAGGAAACTGTTATGTTGGGTGAATGTAAACAAACACTAACAGGAGAAAATTATAGCAACAATGAATGCTTGTATCATGGGGTTAAGAGAAACAAGATATAGGCAAAATCCCAAATAAGAGCACAGATAATGAGAGAATCAAAAGAAGTGTCCTATAATATTGTTAATATTTAGGGTAGGTTTTTTTTTTTTTTGCACTGCTAAATATGGTTGTCTTTATTTTCTTTTTCCTTGCCCAGCCCTATCTAAACATAAAATAAAACTACAGGACTGAAATTAACAATCCATTAAAATCAGCAATAAGTTATGAAAATCATAAAGCTTTTTTTTTTAAGTAATTAAGGGTAGTTAAATTATTTAAAGTATACAAAGTCCAAACAGCTGGGGGTAAGGTCTCCAGGAAGGCTTCCCAGGGTAAGAGAAAGGACCAAAGGAAAACCTTGCAGTTTGAAAGACAAAGGGAACACATGACATCAAAGTGCAGGCTAGAAATTTCACTTCGAAGAAAATAACATTTCTGGAAACATTTATAAGAGCAACAATAGCACCTGCACAGGGGGATTGTGAAGAAGACTGCTTGTAGAAAATGGAAGCAAATCTTTACATTAAAATGAGACAAGTGCTGAACTTAACTATGTTAACTATGATAGTGTGTCTACTATGGATATCAGATGGTTAAAAGCTGGTAAAAGGTAATGATTCTAAAAGAAAACAAAAACAGCATTGACCTTTTTTCTACCTAGCCYAGACCTCATTCATTTTGTGCACTATAAAGAGTGAGGTGTGAGGTGTTTTATCATTATCAAATGCTGCATCAAAATAGATGATTTTTCCCATGTGTTTTTCCACTATAAAAGACATCTATGTTTATTTATGGACAAGCTTTAAAAAGATGTCATTTTGGTTTTCAACACAAATAAACAGTTATCAAAATCTCAAATAAAAATGCTGCCGTGGCTCAGACCTTGGCCTGCTAATCTGCGTGCACAACTCTTCTGATCCATGCAGACACAGGCACATGGAGCTTTTTCCTTTTGGCTCCCCAATCCATACTCATAGGCCTTGTGTGATAGAGGCTGTCATGCATGGACTGCCCCCATGCAGTCCTTAGGCCTCGGGCTGGCGAGATGGCAGTTGGGTGCCCTAGTGCTAACAATGCAGGATAAGGTTAGCTTGTTTAGCATGGAATCCAACAGAAAGCTGAGCTGCATGATGATCCCTTTCAAAAGGCTTCATGGGAGTCTCTCCTTTTGTAGAGCATGAAATGAGTTTGGGTTTGTTYCATTTTTGTTTTAAAKAATTGATCATCCACAGGCTTCATGATAAACTGTCCCAGGCTGAGTTTTAATAGCTCCTTAGCTATCCAAGATTAATGCCTGATTATCTTTTCTTTACTACAGGTTTGATTTTTTTTTCCCTAGGGCCATAAAGCTCAGGAAGGGTTCATAATCCCATCTTTAAATGTGTCTACTCAACGTAGTATGAGCAAACTAGAAAAAGAGGATGGAATCTCCAGTGTCCTCTTTGAAATCAATTAGATCAAATCAAGATAATTTCAYACAAGTTTTCCATTGCCATTAGAAATTGTGATTTTTCCAATGTGAATATTCTGAATATATTTGTTCTGCTGGGGAGGCTCTACCCCACTTTTTGCTAAGTTATTTGCTTAAATACAGGTCTTCTGACCCTTTGTTCAAGTATAGTTTTGTTTAGCTTTATAGAGGAGACTGCATCATGAACCCAATTTAAGAGATTGTACTGAATTGGCCCAGTGAATATTTTGCTCTGCACTATTATGTCATGCTGGGTTCTAGGAAGTGAACGAAAGTTTGACACTGGCACTGGAGTAATCCTCATCACTCCCAATACTCTGCAGGCTGCTGTGGTCATCAATGTCACTGATGCTGGTGGTACTTATATTGTCCACTTCTCCATGGGAGAACTCTGTGCTTTCAACATCCACTTCAATCTCCTCTCGCTCTGAATCAGAACGATCTGAAGAAATAGTTGATCCAATGCTGTCCATTCGTATTCGTTCCATTTCTTGAGGACCCTGCAGCTGTTCCAGTCGCCGCTTTAAAAAATCTCTGTTCTCCTTCCAAGTTCTCAAGCTGGTGCTGGCTTTTCCTTTCAGCTTCTTCAAGTTTCTTGATGTGTGCTTTGGCTTTACGGAGCAAACCAAGTGTTGTGTGCCTGGTGCAGTCTGGTCCTAGTGGAATCAGAACTTTTAAGCGTTCTAAACACAGGCGCAGATGAACTCGTCGGTTCTTTTCCAGCTCATTATGTGTGGATCTGTTGGCAGTGCTGGTGGTGCTGCTCCCGCTGCTGTGTTTCTGTGCCCGGCTCAACCTCCGTGGGGGCTTTGAATGCTGTAGCCGGGGGTTCGGCATGGAGGGGAATGATGAGGCGTAKCCATGTTCACACTCTCGCTCCCGGCGCTCCAAAAACTCGGCGGCCTCCAGCAGGCGCTGCACGTTGATCATCCGCACCCGCTCCACGGGCACCGCGGGTGGCGACCCGGCTACTCCGCTCTCCCGTCCCTGGCCGACAGGAGGCGCCACAGGCGGCTACAGCCCCGCGCCGTCCCGGGACTTGTGTGGCGGGCGGGCGGGCCAGCCCGGACGAGGCTGGGCGCGCTCTCCTCCGCCCCCGCCGCCTCCGCCGAGCCCGCCGCGCAGCCTGCAGCCCGCGCGGTTTGTTTACCTCTCCAGGCGAGCACGGGGGAGGGCGGGAGCAGCGCTCTGGCCCGCCTCCTCCCGCCCCTTCCTATTTAGGGTAGTTTTAAATTAATATTTTTTCAGTGCTGGGGATTAAACCCAGGGGCACTCTATTGAGCAACATCCCCACCCCTTTTTATTTTTATTTTTATTTTGAGACAGGGTCTTGCTAAATTGCCGAGGATAGCCTCCAACTTGTGATTCTCTGGCCTCCGCTTTCTGAGTAATTGTAATTACAGGCAAATACCACCATACCCCACAAAATTTTAAATTTAATATGCCTGTTAAATTTTCTAGGTTAACCACTTACAAGCAGAATATATAACTTCTAATCTAGTAGAGTAGGAAATGGAACCAAAAAAATCTGAAAGATGGATAAAATGGAAATTGCAAAAGAAAAAAGGGAGAAAAAACTAAAAATGTAAAAAATAAATTTATGAAAGCAAATTTTCAAATATCAACAATTAAAATTGCTGTAAATAGAACAACTTCTCTGGTTAAAAGAAAAGGTTGTTGGAATGGATTTTTAAAAGTCCCAACTACTTCTCAATATACTTCTCAATATACATAACTAAATCTAAAACTTTCAGGAACGTTGCTAGGGGAAAGAGAAAATATTTACCAGCCAGGTGCGGTAATCCCAGCTACTTGGGAGGCTTAGGCAGGAGGATTGAAAGTTCAAGGCCAGCCTCAGCAACTTAATAAGTCCCTGTCTCAAATGAAAAATAAAAAAGGGCTGAGGATATGGTTGAGTAGTAGAGCACCTCTGGGTTCAATCCCTAGTAATACACACACACATACAAATAAATAAGTATCACACAGAATGAACAGTAACACAAAATGTAAGAGGAAAGATAAAAAGGAAATGACATACAGTCAATGTTCACCAAGAAGTCAATGTTAACTTGCATATACTTAATAATGTGACTCTAAAAATATGAGCAAAAATGGACAGAGATGTAAGGACAGGCAGACAAGTTGACAACATTATTTTCAGTGCATGTATACACAACCCCAAAACTGTCTCTTAAAGATTGGACAATAGGAATCATTCAAATTCATAAAAGTGGTTGATTGGATTCTTTGCCTTCAAAACAGAATTCGGTAAAACCAGTTTCTGTGTGCAGATGGAATTTTTAGGTCATTAAGATAGTTATTTCAGGTTCCATTATACTTTCTATCGTGGCTAGGATTGTAGACCCTCCTACCCCTTACCCTCTACCCTCCTTCCAACCTTCTTCCCATCCCCTACCCCACCTTTGCCTGAGATGGGTCTTTGGAGCAGGTAGCTTGGCGTGGGAGGTGATCCAGGGAAAGGAGTGGGGGACTGAGGAGTGTAAGACAGGAAGGAGAGAACACTAAGCAAGGATTCATTTTCCAGTTTGTCACTGCCATGGGCAACTAGGGTTGGGACCCACCAGAACCTTCACGTTGTATGTACTGAATAATTTTTGAGTTCTCCATCATGGGGATAGAGAGGGGAGCATTTATTTCAGGAATTTACCATGCTCTTCATGAGTTGCTCATGTGCTGTGGACTCCCTGCAAGGAAGTTCTTCCAGGTCACTCAGAGAAGCTGCCATGGCATCCAAACCTCAAAGTCAGAGAAACTCTGGGCAGGTTGAAGACCAGCTACTGCAGCAATGGCTGGAGTAAAAGCAATGGCTGGAGTAAAAATGTCACAAGAAGATGTGACATGGGGCACAGGAATGTCCCCACCAGAAATTTTTGGAAGAACTTCTCATTGTGTTACTTGGTAAAATAACACTTCCTTGCAATACTGGGCTTAACTGATAATTATTATAGAATCCTTGGTCTTCCAGGAGCTTTCTATGAATGATCTTAAAAGATATCCTAGGGGCTGAGGTTGTGGCTCAGTGGTAGAGCGCTTGCCTAGCATGTGTGAGGCACTGGGTTCAATTCTCAGCACCACATATAAATAAATAAAGTAAAGGTCTATTGCTAACTAAAAAATATTTAAAGAAAGAGAGAGATCCTAGAATGATCCCCCAACTTCATGCACGTGTGTGGGCATAGATGTGTGTGTGCGCACACACGCGAGCGCGCACACACACACACACACACGCTCAACGGCAGCCCTAATTCCTTTACTCAGGATTGAATGAAACTTTAGTCATTGTACAAAACTGGCAGTGTGTTGAAGAGGGAACTAGAAGAGAAATGGTGTGACTGATTAAAGGATAGAAAATATCAGTGAGTCCATAGGAATGAGTTTAAGAGATCCATAATACAACATGGTAATCACAGCTAATATCAACATATAATAATAGAGATTTTGTTCCTGAAAATCTCTAAGATTAGATTGTGATCTCTGCTTCTTGATCACCATGATGTGAGCTGCTTCCTTCTGCCACACACTCCGCCGTGATATATAGCCTCACCTCGAGCCCCGAGGAATGGAGCTGGCCTTCTCTGGACTAAGACCACTGAAACCAACATTCTAAACCAAATTTGGGTCCAGACTGCTATGCAATTCTAGAATCAGAAATAAGGCCTAGATCTGTAAAACTAGACTTATTGTAATTTTAAAAACAACGAGATGCACTTGTGGGAAGGAAAAGTCAGTAACCTGAGTTCTCTGAGTTCAGAAAAATCATTAAAATTCCTCTTCATCTGCAATTGGATTTCATTTGGACTCAGCCTCATTTTATAAAACGAAGAACCATGCCACAGTCACTCTGCATGGTTGACAGAATCTAATCAACCAGAGAAGATGAACAGTATCACAGGAGAATCCTGGTGATCAACAGCACGCACGCCCACACAGATTTTGTCACAGGCTGAGGACCCTTTCATCTTTAGCAGAAATAATTTATTCTCCCCTACAAAGAGTTCATATAAACTTCTAGATCTTGCTGGGTTTTACAGTATTTACTTTTCTTTTATGTAATGCTCCAATGTATGTAATAAATTAATATACCTTCCCTAGAATTAATTTGCTCACTGTAAGCTTATTTCATCAACTAAGTCATCAAACTCTCAGCAGGTAGAGGCAAAATCTTACCTCCCCTATAAGAGCATCGCACACTTGGGGAATCACAAGCATCTTGGTATTGCCTCATTTAAAGAGAGAGAGAGAGAGAGAGAGAGAGAGAGAGAGAGAGAGGTGAAGTCTTTTTCCTTTGCCTTATCATTTCTCAAAAAAATTTACTGTACTTTGTTAGTGATGCTGCATAAACAAATTTAACATCACTTCTTTGAGAACTACTCATTCCCTGGGTATCTCCCACTTTTAGATGAAATTGTATGTTAAAATACCTTTGTTAAAATACTTTTCTCATATTAATCTATCTTTTGTTATAAGGATCTGTTCCTCCCCTCTTCTAGAATAACCAAAAAGTTTTCAAAAAGAATAAAATTGCTGAAGGATTTCTAATACTTGATAATAAAACCTACTATAAATCTATATTAATACAAAAATAATAAAACTTACTGTAAATCTATATTAATACAGACAGTTTGACATTGTTGGAAGTAAAAGACATTTAGGTCAATGGTACAGTATAGAAAGTCCAGAAATACACACACAGCTGCATTATCAATTAATTTGATGAATATTCCAAAGCAATTCAATAACTTTGAAAACCAGGTGTGGTGGTCATGCCTGTAACCCACCTACTTGGGAAGCTGACACAGGAGGATAGCAAGTTCAAAGCCAGCTTGGCAACTTAGTGAAACCTTGTCTCAAAATAAAACAAAAAAAGACTAGAGATATAACTCAGTGGTAGAGTATTTGCCTCCAATAAGCAAGGACCTGAGTTCAATCTCCAAATACTGCCAAAGCCAAAACAAACAAACAAACAAACAAAAGAATAAAGCAAACCTCAGACTAGAAGAAAAACTTTGTAACACATATAACAGAAAAGGAACTTGTATCCAAAATGTACAAAACTACAACTTAATAGCAAAAAGCAAATAATCCAATTTTTTTAAAAAATGGACAAAAAGTGTGAACAAATGATTTACAAAAGAAGATATATAAATGGTTAAAAGCACATTAAAAAATTGCTTGGTATCATTCATTACCAGAGAAATTCAAGTTAAAACCTTGAATGTGACACCTAAAACACAAACAAATAAAATATAAAAAACCCTCATCCATTAAAATGACCAAATTAAAAACAGACCATACAAACTTGTGATGAAGATGAGGAACAACTGAAAATTTCTTATGCTGTTGGAGGGCATATATTAGAGCAAAATTTTTTAAAAGCTTTGCTGTTTCTGAAATAGTTATAYACCAACCTCTCCACACAAGATATTTATCCAAGATGCACACACAAAGACTTGTATACAAATGCCCAAAGCTTTTATTTTTATTTTTATATCCCCAAACTGGAAATTATTCAAAAGTTCACCAACAGATGAATGGTACATCCATACAATGGAATACTACTTAGTAATAAGATGGAATGACCTATTGATATATTCAACAATGTGGATAAATCTCAAGTCTTGTTAAAGAACCCAGACACCTCCATTTTAAAAAGAACATGATTATTATGATCCCCTTTATATAAATTTTCAGGAACTACTAATTAATCTACAATGAAAGAAAGTCATTGGTTGTCTGGGGACTGTTGTAGAAGGAGATAATGTAGGAAAGGATGGATTTAAAAAGGAATGAGGAAATTTGGGGAGAGGTTTAAAATGTTCATTATTTTTATTGTAGCAAGTGTATATATATATRTATATATATATATATATATATATGTCAAAACTTATTAAATTATTTCCTTTATAGTTGATTGATGCTAATTATATTTCAATAAAATTGTTAAAAGTA